GAATGACATTGCCCCATTTGTTAGGAAATGGAAAGACTTGGAAAAAATTATATTAAATGAAGTAAGCCAGGCCCAAGAAAACATAGGTCCATGGTTTCCCTTATTTGCAATATCTAGTATATGCCTGAGACCAGCAGAAAAGGTCAGATAAGTTGATGTTAGGTGAAATGAACCCTAAGATAAGGATTCAAATGTTTTTTCTTTCTTGCAATTGTTTCTACCATATTTATAAGATGACTTCTTTGTTACTTTGTATGTCCCTACCCCACATTATAACCCCTGCTTTCATTGTATTTGATGTTGGTATAATTTGTGGAGGGGAAGGGAAAAAATAAATTGTTTAAATAGAGATACAGGTGGACCCATTGCAACAATGAGATGTACAAGTCGTTATGTCGAAAAACAAACTTTACAACTTTGGCTGGGGGGGAGTGCGGGGGTGAGGGGGGGAGATGGGAACGGATGGGAAGGGGAAACAAAGGAGGAGGCTACAATGCTTGATAAGAAATGCACTCATGCCGGGCGCCGGTGGTTCACGCCTGTAATCCTAGCTACTCAGGAGGCTGAGATCTGAGAATCGCGGTTCAAAGCCAGCCCAGGCAGGAAAGACCATGAGACTCCTATCTCCAATAAACCACTAGAAAACCAGAAGTAGCGCTGTAGCTCAAGAGGTAGAGCACTCGCCTTGAGCTGAAGAGCTGAGGGACAGCGCCCAGGCCCAGAGTTCAAGCCCCACGACCAACAACAACAACAAAAAAAGAAATGCACTCATTATCTTGCCCATGTAATTGTAACCCCTCTGTACAGTATTTTCACAATAAAAATTCTTTTAAAAAAGAAATGTACTCATTACCTTGCCCATGTTTTAAAAAAAGAAAATCTACTTTGCAGGCTCATTCTCATCCCCCCCTGCAGTCACTGAAGACTAGAGGCAGCAGTGAGGCGCCTCTGCTCTGGCACTGGCACTGCAGTTGAGGCAGCCTTCCAGGACATGGTTGGGTCAGGGGCAAGCCACCCATCCTCAGGTGCTAACCCATAGTACCCTCCTTTGAGTCCACAGGTATTTCACCTCCCTAATTTAAATGTTTCACTCTAAGTTGCTGAGCAGTTTCTCTACCCACACTAACCCAACCCTAAATAAATGGAGGTGGCTCAGTGATAGAGCGCTTGCCTTGCATGCTCGAGGCCCTGGGTTCGATTCCTCAGCACCACATAAGGAAAAAAGCCAGAAGTGGTGCTGTGGCTCAAGTGGTAGAGCACTAGCCTTGAGCTGAAGAGCTGAGGGACAGTGCCCAGGCCCAGAGTTCAGGCCTATGACCGAAACCCCCCCAAAAAAAGATATTTAATAAGTAGAATTAGGTACTTAAAAATTATTACAAAGGTGAAGGAATGAGTATTGAAATCAGAGCATTATCTTTTGGG